GTGGTGGTGGAGGGTGGTGAATGGGGGGCTGTTCTCGTCTTATAAAAACCCTTTTCACAATGATTGCAGACAGAGCAGTAGAAGAAAGTGCATTTCTGTATGCTCCCTGGAAATGGTTTTACCAGAGCACATTAAAACTCGTTTCACACCTCCGCTGACCTGCTTACCGCCCCGCACTCCTGTCATCCCAAAGGATCCCAATGCCCTGTACACACAGGACGGGGCCTCATTTTACCCTCCGCTGTAGTGCGGCGCCACCTGGTGGACATGCCGCGCCAGCAGCCCCGGTGCACCAGAGATGAGGTGAAGGAGGGAGAAATTGCTTCACCAGCTGAATTAATGGTGGAATTTTAGGGAGGCCAGATTGTGCTTCCCTACTGTCCCCTGCCATTCCGGAAGCTTTCCATGGAATTTGAGTGGCCAAGCTGTCTGAAGGACAGCAGCTCCTGGAGCACAGTGACCCTGCTCACATTGCTGGGGCTGTGGTTAGGAAACTCTGCTCCAGAGGTAATAAAACCTCCTACTGGTCCAGATGCAGCACCTACAGCAGTGACCCGGTTTTCAGCCTTAGCATTGAAGTTTTGATTAAAAATATGCAATCCACATTAATACAAAAATAAAATTACATCATTTGTAATTAAACAAAATGGCATGTCCTTAGAAGAAGGTGAATATTTTTGCAAGGCAAAGTATATCCAAACAGTAGCAGCAAGACAGGTCCTCTGGGTAATAACATATAATTCACTTCTGTGATTTTTCTTGGAAAAAAAAAGTCAGAAATAAAATTGCATTATTATTATATTCCCACTGAAATCAAATGCAAGCTTTACACTAAATAACTAAGGAGTTAATTGAATAGAATTAATACCCCACAATCTAAAAGACACCCAAATTGTCTGTGTTTGTACTCCCTGACTCACCCTGATTCAATGTTGACCTCTGGTAGGAGGAGTGCTGAAGTCCCTGCAGCTTCAGATCTGGCCTGACTCTGTGCTCCCAGAACACAGCTTTAGACTGCTGTGCAGTCTGGTTTAGGACTCCTTCCGGTAGAGGACAAACATCACTAAACGAGAAAAAAACACTTACCTGTGTCACTGAGGCCGTTAAATCAGATTCCTACAGAAATCAAAACACACCCAGCTACACATTTCACAAATATAAAAAGACTAAAAGGAAGCCTGTAGCCAGGTGCTTCGTTTATGCTTTTCTTCAGTCTGATGTTGTAATTCATTCTCCCCATTTCGAATCCCCAATCACCAAGAGGGCAGCGCTGGAGTGAGGGGGCTACAGCGTCAGGCTGGTGGTTTCTGTGGGGAGAAGACCAGGCCCTTGTGGAGCTATACCAGCTGTGTGCTGCTCCTCACAGATGTTGTCAAGCAGCCCAGGATGGAACATGTGATATCTGGAATATTGGACATGTGCTTCATGAACACATGCACTGGAGCTCCAATGTGTTTTCTTTCTTTGAAAGCAGCAGCTGTGTGTGGAATTCCTAGATTCACAGGGTCTTCAGCTGTCCAGCAGTAGAACCAGCACAGTTTTCAGACGAGGGTCCTGTATCAACCCTCTGGATTACCAGATCAGCCTGTGCCTAGGTGTGTTTAAAGATGCTGTTTTGCTTCTACATATTATCATGACAAATTCTGATTATCAACTATACAACTTGAAATGATAATTAAATATCTCCACCAATTTTTATTATTTGCTCTACTAGATAAATGGATTTGATTATATTTTTGAGTTTGGTTAAAAACAAATAAAGACATGCCTACAGAAGCTACAGTATGTAGCAGAAAAACTAATTTCATTTTCACTAATGTCAACTAGTTTCATTGTGTTTTATTATGTTATCTTCAGTAACATCTTTTAATTAATTAATTCCATTACCTCAACTGTTACTCTGCAACTTAATACAGAAGACTGCTACTCAGAAAACATACCCTGAAGACAAACTCAGCGTCAACAGATATTTCAACCTCTGTTTTCAGAGCGGCTGAAGCTGTGGACATATTCATACAATTTTTTATATTAGTTTTATAAGCCTGTTGTATACTGTACTGAAATAGCGTTGGCACAGAACTCATGTATTGCAGACTGAATATACAGTGGTACATGATGTCTGCATTTTGAATTTGATTCTCGTCTGAGAATCAAGTTTGTTTTAACTTTGTATAGATGTTATCACAGTATATCATGGATGCCTGTCACATACATATTTGATGTTCATTTTTGCCTCCTTAAGACTTTCCCACTGAGCTTGTGTGCTTCTCAGTGAAGCTTTTTTTCTCCTCTCGGGAGGAAAAACTGTAAACTTTCCAGTTCTTAGCAAACTTGTAAGTTTTCCAAAAACTTGTGACGTGATAAATTTTTCATGCAATACAAAATCCCCATAAATAAGTGATTTTTGCATTCATAATTTAACTCAGATTTTAAGGAGCTTGCACACTTTTGACTGATGTGTTAAAACGTGCTTGAAACATCAATGCACTGTAGTAAACAGCACATGAGCCAGCTTGGAATAACACAGCTGTTTACAAAGCAGTTCTGGTGGAAGAGAAGCATGAATATCGCCTGAACAGGGGTCTCGTGTCTTCACCAGGGCCTTGTGTTAACACTCCTCAGCACTGCTTATGTTTTATACAGTATGTGACTGAACATACTCATAAGCTTCCATTAGGCCCTGTATACAGGCGTTCAGAATACTGAGCATTTACAGCTGGAGATGGTGAAAGAGATGGAGGATCAGCACCTCGATACCCTTTTTTGTTTTATAACAATACTTTGCATTAGGGGACAAAGCGACAAATAAACTCTTTTGCAGACTAATGTTATTGAATCTAAATAATTCCGCTTTCTGGACTGAGAAGGATAATTTAGCAGTGGGCAGTTCACTTTGAATGCTCTCCCACGAAACGCAGTGCTTAAAAAGGATGAGAAGTGTAGTGCACACCAACTCACTGAAAAGAAGTGTCCTTTTAAAGCCGGGGAGTTGTGTTGGACTCTGTGGACACTACATCACTGCTGCAGGGACTCACAGGACCGGAGCCAACTTCTACTGTGAAGATTGTTTTGGCTTGGAAAGCTGGTCAGTGGCACCAGCAGGGAGAAGGCCTCTTCCAAGACTGCTAATGTCCAGGCCTGTTCCAGAAGACCGCTCAGGGCTCTGGGCATCCCTGCCTGCACCGCATTAACAAAGAGAAGAAGCTACCACAAACTCTCACTTAGGACAGAGATGCATTTTTTCAGTATTAGACTTCGGTAGCTTTGCATTTGAAGAACCAGTGAAATATTTTTTTTTTCTTCTTCTAAGACACTCATTCATTAGAGTGGGCTGACAGTCCAGGCTTTTACAAAGAAGTGAGCAATGATCCAGTGTCTCCAAAAAACACTTCAATGGCGGTCAATGCTTTAGACAATTGTCATTGTGAGACAGATTAGTTTTAGCTGAAGGAAAGGGTTAAGAGCACATTGTAGCTCTTAGCTGTCTGGGCAGAAAAAACTGCCTGAGAAGTAACAGGAGCAATAGATAAGGTTGTGCAGCACTGAAATTGCACCGGACCTAAAAATAATGTTCAAGGACTAGTAGGGAGTGGATGTCTGGAGGTGTAAATAAGCTGTCTTTGTCCTGCGATATCTTTGCTTTACGATTTACTGCACAAATATGTTAACTATTCCTTTTCGTGCTCTTTTTTGTAACTGCTTGTCTATATAAATGGGAAAGGTTCCAGCTGGTACTTTGAATTGCCTGTTGCTCCTGTGGCTGAGCAAGTCCTGTATGCATACTGTACATCAAAGCCCCACTGCACCTTTCCATGAACGAACCCCACTGAGTGTGTGGATTTTCTACATGGCCTGCGGATGATGCGTGGTTACAACAGTAATCTTGCTCAGCTCAGGAGGAACCGGAGGTTCAGGCCGGGGGTGTCTGTGCTCGGCTGAGGAGCCACAGGTTAGAAACCAACACCTGCGGGATCACGTCCCTGTAACCCACCCCAGGCGAGGTGGAAAGTGGACGGAGGACAGGAGTCAGGTGGCCGCAGGTTTTGTGAAAGACTGCGTGGCTGTGCCAGTGTCAGTGCCTTCAAAGCCTTCTCAGCTCCCTTTTCATTACCTCACAGCTTCACGCCGTTTCTTTGGCTGTTAGGCTGGAATGAGTGCACCGCTCTTGTGTTTCAGCACAGCACTTAATGGCTATCAATAACGCTTTCAGCTTCGGATTCGTGAAGGAGCCACTTCAATAACTCCAGCACACTGTGCTCCACAAAAATCAATAAAACATCAAAGGAAATGTTAAGGAGTTCTTAAGGGAAGAGTTTAATGATATATGAAGTCAATATGAAGTTATAAGTATTTAAATGTATAAATTACAGGAGGATTACCAGAGGGCCATAGCTCCCCTGGGGCAATTTTTATAGTTAATTTCACTAAGAAGTAAAAGTGTAAAAACATCAGCTTCACGTACCCCCTACCACATTATTTATATTCATCAGAGGAGAGCAGACGGCGAGTGTCTGTGTAGGTTAGTGTTGCTGACTGACTGTTGTGCCTCTTTGAGTAAAACAGTACATTATATCCATTTGTCCAAATCTGATCTCCTGTTATGGAGAAGGCTTGACGGTAACTGAAGTGTCTGCAGCCTGTTTTTGTCATCGCCTGATATCTCTTCTGTCCACTACTGCGTGCACTGCTTGTGTACTATGTGTGCACTGTACGTATATTACTATGTGATCTGCACATATACTACTGCGTGTGCTGCCTCTTCTGTTCTATTTTTAATTTTTTAATGCCAGTTTTGCCATAAATATTTTGGGTTGTTTGATATAACTCGTGCGGTAAGGTAGAATTAGTGAACAGTTTAAGAAAACTGGATTGCAGATGGATACATACGTTTAAAAGGAAAATCTGTTTTAGGTGCAGAAGTAAGTCGAATTCCTCCAAAATTCATTAGATGCACAGAAGTTTGAGATATTTCATTAAAATGAAAACACAAAACTGTGCCATTCAGTAAAGTACAGGAAAGTACTAGAGTTTTTATTCCTTCATATTCAAACTTCACAAACAGCGTGAACTTGTACAATACCTCAGAAAGTGAAACTTACAAAAAAAAGTGCTGGTAACATTTACAAAAAAATCTTCATCCTTACTTAGCAACAATCAGTTTATTCTTCCACACAAAGTTTTTTTTTTAGTCTTTTGTATTAAGGCTTAATACTTCTGTATAAAGTATATGCAAGATAAGTCTTCACAGTATTTTGAAAAAAGTCACAATAATATGTAACATAATGAAGCATTACGGCTATTTTCTTTATAATAACAAATACACAGCACAGGTAAATATACGTGAAAATACAGGGCTAACTGTGAATGGCAAGTTAGGATACTGTCTGCTAAAATAAAACTGGTATTTTTTTGTTGTTTTTCATTTTTAAAGCACTTGAAAGAAAGGTGTACATTATAGATCATATAAAATGACATACCATTGTAATAACTAAAAGCAGAGGGGGAAGAACAAAATGAAAAAACGGAGATCGCCTCAAAAACTTTGGCACATCCCTTTAAATATTTTTTTAAAATAGATAAAGGTTTCTTCAGAAATAATATGCAAGGCAGTGTAGCGAAACACAGTCATAATGTTGGACAACAACTTAAAAGACAGTAGACTGAAAACATACCGCATCGTAAGGTGCTAAATGAGAAAGAGATTAGAGTGCCAATCTTTCCATTCAGATCAGCACGTATAAGGTGCATTTGAAGTCTTTTTTAAAGTTTGTTTTCTTTGTCTTCTTTAAAGAAAAACGCACAAAGAAACAAACGAATGGGAAAAAAAAACAAACAAAAAAACCTGGCCAATAGTCTCAAGGCGACCTCGTACATCTTCCATAGTTTTTTACTTCTACTATCAAAAAAGAGGAAAGAAAGGGGAAATAATCTAGTCCTTTTTTGTGTTTTTATTTAGACCACAAAAGCTCCATCATGGTACGCGGAATTATGAAAACCGATTTGTTTTTATTTTATTTTTTTTTTGCAATCGAATTGGATGGATTTTTTGTTGTTGTTGTTGTTGTTGTTGTTGTTGTTTTTTCGTGGAACGTATCACTGCACACCCGTGGATTGTGAGAGAGATTGGAGGATCCTTAAACCTTAAAAAGCAGCGCGGAATCGAGCCGCGCGACTCCCGTGGATCCCCCGCCGAGGTCAGACGGTCAGGCAGGGCATCCACGGCACGCGCGCCGGGGTGGAGCGGACGGGAGCGCGCACACGCCGACAAGTCTTTCAAGTGCCCTCTGGCGCCAGGACGCGCTTTGCTCGGGAAGCTGCGCGCCGCACCTGGCACCTGGCACCTGGGGGTGGCTCGCACGTCGCAGTGGAATTGTGTGTTTGTGACCGTTCAACAACCTTAGCAAGAAACTATCAGAAGGCACAAACCCGTGTCTCCTCTAGGAAGTGACAAATTCAGAAGCACTGCATGGAGAGCATCACAACCGCAGGGATGGTAGCAAAAAGCCAAGCGGTCCCCACTCACGCGACCTCTTTCTCTCCTTAAAAGTGTGGATTTACGGTTGGCTCGTCCTTTGCGTGATTAAACATCGATGTAGGAGGAGTGGGAGAGGGGAGTAACTGAATGAGCTGCCCTTCCTTCGATGCCAATTTATTTGTGTGTGTGCCAAAATCCGAGTCTTCCGCGTTTTCGGAGAACTTTTCGTTCTCCTGGCGCCGCGAAGAGTCCCATTCTCGAAGTCTGAAGTTGTCACCAGAGGAAACACAGGAAAAAAAAGGAGATCGCAATTTGAGGAATGAGCCCAGGTGCGAGCGGCGTCGCACCCTCTAACCCCAGACCCATTCGGTCAAATTCACTTGCAATGGCAGGCAAGCTGACGAAGGCTGACTGGGAACCTGCCTGAGCTGACAAAAGATCTTCCACCGATTCTTGCGAGTTCAAGAGTCGGTATTGCGGCAGTCTAACGCACATTTGCTCCCGGGAGAAATCCATCCGCAACACCCCGTTCACACCCCGTTCACCGACTACAGACAGCTTTCTTCTTGTTTCGTGTCTTTTTCTTAAAGTATGTGTATATTTTAAAGTTGTATATATTGCTATTGATCCATAAAACCCAAGTTAATATTAGTGCAAATATCTTTCCTGTTTTGAGAAGTGGAAATCGGCTCTGGAGCGAACACAACCCCTTTTTTAACACTACAAAATGGAGGTTATGTCAGAGCTCAATGGCAACGTTCAGCTGAAAGGAAGGATGTCATCATAGTGGTAATGCAAAATATCAAGTTTTCTTCTTGTTTTTCTGCTCCTTGATTATTTGACTGCAATTGAGTGGTTTCCCTTTTAGTATTTAATACCATGAAAGAAAAAGAAAACTGTCTATTGTTCAGGACAGTGATGAAGTAATTCTGCAGATTTTAAGCCTAATGATCTTTTACCCATTGAAAGATTGTGACTAATTTATGAAACTTACAGACTTATTAAAACAATAATTAAAATATCTTGCACCCAATCACCTTGTGTAAATGGCCATTGGTTTCTTAATTTTTTTTTTTGGTAAAAAGAGTCTTGTAGTTACATCAATTTTGAAGGAGGCATTCATTTAGATCACAAAAAACGATTTTGAACAATTAAAGATTCTTAATGTTTTTTCTTTAACAAATTGAATTAGGGATTGCATGAATCAATTTAAAGTGCTACTGCTTTGCACTGTCCTTACAAATGGATGCACTACAAGTCTCAGAGATTCATAACTGTCCACTTGGAGGAATGAGTATCAAAGACCAAATTTCGCGCTGCTTGGTTTTAGTACTCCTACAATAGTCCTTAATCTCTAGATATCAGAAACACGCTCACAGTCCAGTGTCTTTGACAAGTCAGAGTATAAAACGCCCTTGTATAAAAAAATCCCCTTATTACCTATCTCAAAACAGCAGTCATTACATTACAAACGTTTTATCTCTTGTAACATTAATAATTATTTAAAAAAAGACAATAAAACCAACTTAGAACACACATGAAGAATTAGAGTTGAAAACATTACTGCAGCATATCCATAAGGGCAAACTTGGTTTTATCTTAAATACCTTCACCAAAACAACTCAATTTCCAACAATCATTTTTATCAGTATTAATCTATAAACTCTTATGCCAATTGAAACCAGATAGCAAAATCAATTTTGTCATGAAATAAAATGAAACAATATAAAATAACTTGAAAAAAGGGCATTTTGTGCATTAAATATGGAAGATGTGGAAATAAAGAAGAAATCCTTAGAAAAAAACAATGGAAAAATAACTTCTGTTACTATTGGATTCTGTAGAAGGAACCCTGGAATATGTTTTGTCATGTTAGGAATTGATTGTAGGAGACGGTGATAATGAAAGGTGTCTCTCTCTCTCAGGTAACTGAATGTCAGGGAGTGGTTCTAGAGAACAGGTGTACATTAACACTTAAATATTCCAGATAAGTTAATATCCTTGGGACATACACTAAAAGCCATTTCTGTTAAAATAAACCCCCCCAAAATAAAACATTTTCACGGATATATTCTGTGAAGCAGCCAGCTCAAAAGACAAAATGTCAGAGCAAGCTGAAGTTTGCTCCTCACCATAAAGCTAAATAATCTTTATTGTACATCTAAAATCTTAAATACTGTTACATTCCGCCTTTTGATATGAGGAAAATCTCTGGTTTGTTTCTAATGAAAGCACCTAAAGTTAAAAAAAATACACTACCTACAGAAAACACTTGTGCTATCTAGAAATAGGGAATTTGGTCCTTAGAGTTGCAATGCTGACACGAAGCAATGCCACCAAAATATATACATATATTAATTTTGATGTTAAGCTGCTCTTTTAGTGAAACACTGTAGCAATGCTAGATTACATTTTTGTTAGGCATCAGGAAAGAATCTGATAATTCTATTAATAAATAGGGTACTGTTTTTTTTCCAATACAAATGATCATTTAGCAGTAATGTAACTATAGCATCGTGGCTGCAGTGAGGCCAGGGTTTTGGCTACATGTAAGGTCTCCATTTTGGATCTGAACGTGGATTGATAAAGTCCAGGTTCATAAAGTATTGTTGTGTGTGTGGTTGTCATTGTCTCTTCCTCCCTATGAAAGAACACAAAACAGTAACACAATGCCTAAGCCAATTGACCTGCCTGTGCAACCACAACAGACAGAGGAGCAGAGAGAAACAACAGCGAGGAATACGAGCAAAGCTCAACAACGAGCTGGACCTTCTTCATTAAACTACCCGGGGGAACGCCGTGGGAATTTCATAACGGGAGCTTTTGGCAGGAAGGGAACACAGAACAAGATTCAGCACGATAAAACAATTGCACATCGCAGGTCTATCTGGGAGATGGCCTGCCTATCCAGTGCGCTCCATTTGCACGATGAACTAGAAACCACTTCGAAAAGCTACCACTACCGCTAAACGCTGCCATAAAAAAAACAAAAAAACAAAGAGGAAAACAAAACACATAGAACATATTTTACACAACAACAGCATCTGCAAAGGTAAACATAATGTGCAAAGCTTGTTCGGGAACTAAAAAAAGGGGGAAAGGGTTATTCAAAGAATCACTAATTTAAAATCAACCTTAGGCAGAGTAACAAATAATTCTGCTACATTTACAATCCTCTAAACGTTATAACACACTATACTCTTTTACTGATAATATGCATGGTTAAAAATATTTTTCATTTTTAAAGAAATAGTAATTTGGTCTACAGTAGTTGAATAAACACAAGTATTAAACTACAGTGTTCTAATAGTGTTTAGGTCGAGCGGTGAACTTCATGTGCGGAACCTCAGCAGTTCTATTCTCTGTAGGTTCTATGGACATGAACCGGTTTTGTTTTGGACAACTTCGAGCATTAATGAAACTGAAATTACTGACACTAAGTGGAAATAATAAATTATGCTTTTTATTCAAGCGCCTCCTAACCTATACATTTTGTACAAGATGATAATTGTATATATTGTATTTCTGTAGGGGGATTTTAAAGTGTTAATAGTCCAGTGACTTTATTTACAGTGTTGTATACTGGACTGTGGCAACAGCATGCAGATACAACACAAAGCTGCTCCCAATAGACAGAGGATTTGGCCAAAGGAAAGCCAAGACAAGCAGGCAAAATGATGCTTCATCTTTGGGTCACAGAGTGCTTCCTCAGCAGACAGTTTGGAAGTGCTGCTCTTGTAATGCTAAAAATTCATTATGGCCATACTTGTCTCAAGAGAGGAGAAGTCTCCACCGCAGGGAGGAGAAAACGAAACATGAAAATGGTTAGTGTTTTATCAAAGACCCCTCACTGTTTCTGAATACAGCTGTATTTCTGCAACATTCAATTCCACGGGCAAGTGTGAATTCACTTTGCACCAACACATCTTTCTCTCCAGGTTGAGTGCTCTTCCTACTGAATCCAAGAAGATTTGTTTGAAACAGGAAGCTGACTTTTCGCAAGACTGGATGTTACCCTGCCCCCTCACTTTTCTCCCCACAGTGAGCAAAACCAGCAGCACTGCAGATGCCTCTCCTCTTATCAGTGCAGTACAAAAGTAGAAAAAGTCATCTAGGCAGCTTGTTACTGCAGGGATTCTACCCTCCAAATGCCAGAGAAAAAAGCAACAACAAAAAAAAATAGGAAAAAGAACACCAAAACTCTAGGAACTAGGAACTCTAGGCAGTCTGCTGTAATAAGGAAAACACCAGAAACAAAATCAGGTAAGGTACATGTATCACAACTTGAAATAACATTACAGGTTTGACAGCACGTCAGCAGAACACCTAGTCTGGTCTTATTTTCTTACTGTAAAAACAAGACTTTTAACTTCGCTTCAGTGTTTAGGAATTCAGAATAACAGGAAGCAGAACATCGTCATCTTTCAGCTTGAATGACTGATGAGATATTTTAGCATTTGGACATAAAACTGTTAATACATCTTTGAATATTTGCAAATATAAATTGTGCCTGTAAAAAATGCTACCTGTACTTTATGTATATGTAAGGTGAAAGATTTGATACTAAAACATCAAATTGAATTTCCTAGGAATGTATCTCTCAACAAGGGAAATATATTACTATGGAGTCCATTTTCATATAAAGTATGTTCATGTGAAAATAATGGCTTTTTTAAGGTGTTGCAGAGCACCGTGGTTTGTACAGGCTGCAAAACTGACCCATCAAACAATTTTATTGTGAATGAACTCCTTCCAATTCAAAATTTAAACGATGAAGGCAATATTGATACACAAAGATAATGTGAACAGAATTCCACTTACTAATACTCAATGGGTATAGCCCAGTACGTGTTTCAAATAAACTTTTTCTTAAAAAATCTGAAAAGCTACCAGGCACTCACAGCTTTGTGATAGTTTTTGGCATTTAATAAATTGTGATTGCACCATTAAATTCTGAAAAAAAGACACAGATTACTCAGTCTTGTTTGTCCTATCGCTGTCAATTTTTAAATCATCATCGGTTGTGGAGCTTGACGCTTAGGATGGATGAGAGTGGACCAGGCTAAGTATTTCAGTTATCATAATTCTAAATGCCAGAACACATCTGGAAAGGGAAGCCGAAGGCTGCCGTGTAAAAGAATAATCGAAACGTGGCTCAGCGTTAGTTTCTTTCCTGACGCATCAATGTCCTTCAGAAATGAATAATTCCCGTTACTCAGGGTCAGCCCCTCTTTTCCCTGACTCTTTGCTGTTTGTCATGTCATCTCCCAGAACCTTGGACAAGAGTTAGAGTCTAGATTAAAGGGGAAACAAACCTTCTAATACGCACATCCAAATGATAAAAAAGTTGAGTCTTACATTTGCCGTTCGCCATGTAACAAGTTGCAATTTCTTACAGCCTAATCTTTGAGCACGCTGGCATTCCCTGTTGGTATACTGCTGCAGTTTGTATAGGTGTTAAAGTTCTAAATGCAGGAATAACGTATTTTTCTACAGATCTGTTTCACACTTGCAGGGTCATGAAGATGTTGGTTGATCAGGGTATCTGTGTTCTTTTACAATACTGTGGACCCTACACAATAGTTTCTCTCGGTTGATTTGAAAGAAGAAAAAAAAAGTCGGACTGTGGAAATTGTCTTTAAAATGAAATCTATATTTCATTTAATTTCTAATATTGCAGTTAAGGTTTTTTTGTTCACAGTGCTTACCTGCGGAGTAACTGAAGTGTGGCGATTGACCTTCTTAATCAATTGACAAATGGTTTGGCAATCCTGCTGGATGTGAAGGCAACTGCTGTACTTATCTTTAGATGCATCGTTATCAGAAAAGGGAACAGCGGAACACAAACTGGAGGGCACATGTGGAAACTACAGGGAAGTGAATTTCAAACCAAGAACTGGAGGCACTTTTTTACCCCAAAAAAGGGTGATGGGAGTGTGGAACAAGCTTGCAAGCCCTGATGTTGAAGCTGGTGCCCTGGCTGCTGTCGGGAAACAGCTGGAGGAGATCCTGGGATCAATGAGCAATTGACTTCATGGCCACCTCACGTTTATAACTTATCTTATGTTCTTATGATATTAGGACACGGGTTCTGCCTGCTTCCCTTGCTGTCTAATTTCTTAAGGCCGACATTGATCCCACTAAGTTGTTTAAAAAGAAGCTACAAAAAAGAAGCCCCTTTATATATTACAGCCCAGAAACCTAACAGTTTAAAATGACAAAAATTCCAACCTTTCATAAAGTGATCATACGCATCTCTTAACTGCTGTAAGCTGGGATTTGTTTTCAGTTTTCATGAAAGAAACTCCAGATAAAAGACTTTCTTGCAGAGAAAAGCGATATTGTTTAAGATGAATCGTGTAACTTATATTCCCATGAAAGGCAAGGCGAGGGACTGAGAACTGGAGCATGTGGAGAGCCCAAACTGGGCAAGACTTGCAAAGCCCATTATGAGCCTCATCCTAGTGAGAATGGATAAAAACGAAATGGACATTATTTTTGTGATGATACGGCCTCTAAAAGATTATGCTGCTCTTAAATGACAGCAAAATGCCAGTTCAGAATACTTAGTGGAAGGTTATTTTGGGCAATTTATTTGCTTTATTGATTGAGTGGCTGTGATTTATGGTTTGAGTTATGAGTTCAGGAAAATTATCTGAAAGTTTTATAGCTATTGTGCATCACAGTTAGATGGATATTTCACTAATTAAAGCTTAATTAAGTTGTATGTCCCTGATGAGAACAGCTGTAATGATTACTGTGTATCTACACACTCACAAGTGATAAACCTATGCAAATTAAAATCGCAGTGAAGACAGAAATTTCAGATAACCAGAAAAAAACCTACAAAGAACATTTATCGGGAATTCCAAAATCATGTTATTTCGTTTGATATTGTTTGTTGGAAAAAAAAGCACATTTATAAAATACACAGTTCACATGTTAAAACATGTGCTCCTGGAACTATATCAAATATTTATGAATCTGATGTTTAATGATTTTTTTGGCCCAAACAGCTTTCTTTCTCCAGCTCAACAGTATGCTGCAGCACGTCCTTATTTCCTCCATTCCAGACCATGCCTCTACAACACAGACCAGGAGCAGAGCTCAGTTTCAGATTGCCACAGAACATGTTCTGGAAACTAATGAAAAGGTGAGAAACACAGAACTTAAGAAGCTTGCCCATGTGATCAGCAGCTTCTTATGAAATGGTGGCATGTACAGTACTAGCATTTGAGACCTAGGTGGACGGATCACTCCAGCACTCAGATCATGATGGAGGATTTTTAAACTGTGCTCATCCCTTTAGTTCTACCACAGAGAGAGTAGGCCAATAACTATGGGAGACCTGAAACATAATGGCCATTGTGGAAGAGCACAATGCAACATACAGTAGCAGTGATGTTTGAATTATGTCTAAGGGCCTTCCAATGGATTACACAGGTTAACTTAAGCAGCATGCCTGAATTTAGCTGGCCATAGGCGGCTTTAAAAAGACAGATTATACACAATGCAATAAAGTACTGTGTATTAAAGTTGATCACACAGATTCATTTTCAGTAAGCGAGTAGATAGATTAAACTTCTTTCTTTGGATTTAAGTTTATGTACTATGCTCTCCTCCACTCTTTCTTCTATGACAGCTAAGACCACACACAAAATTAACTCTTGTTAAGTGGCTAAAGATTCAATTCATCCCAGCACAGCATTATCTTAATTGGGTAATCTTCTGGGAGCTTTATGTTGGTTAATACAAGCCAGAATTTAACACTGACAATCTCACCCGTTGTTTGGATCAGAGCTTATTTTGCTAGCGATAAAAAAAAGTTGCACAGGCCCATTCCTGTGGGTTTCCAGATTTAAAAATGTTGAAGAACAATCTGGTGGTGATGAAGCTGATGGAACTGCGTTGAGCCAATAAAGTATTTTCAAGGTGTAAGATTGTTGCTAGCAGACAAAGGAAGTAACATTTTGAATAAGCTTTCACGTTAGAGTACCCATACAAAACATTCCTGTACCACTTCCACTGGTCTACTGACAGCATGGTAACAAAGCGTTTTGAAAGAAGAAAAAGCTTTGGGTGTATATGATTTAACATATTTGTCATATTACCTTTGTAAAAGAAAGAAATATTTTAATAGTAATTCCAGTTTCTGGTGTATGAATAAAATATATTGTACATTTTATTTTATAACAGCTCCTATTGAAGGTCATTCCAGACGTATTCCTTTTAACAACCAGCAGTGCCTATCTTGGTTTGATTATTGGAAAAAATGGAATGAGAAGTTGAAGACAGCAGCTGATACGTTTTTAGCATAATAGAAAAAAGCTTTTCTATCGCATTTTTCAGCAATTTCCTTGTTAAAGTCCAGGTCCTGCTATGTACGCATGTCCCAGGACACCATAACATCTTTTGTACATCTTTCCCCCCTGCCTGGGCACAGCCTCTACAGTAGCTATTAATACTGATCTGAATCAGTGCTGTTGCTTCAATTTGCAAAACCGAAATCTTTTGTACATGCTATAAAGTTCAATTAAGGGACATCACAGCCAAACAATTACAATTTAATTAGATTTAAACTAAAGTCAAAACTTGGGTTGTAGACTTAAATGGTGCTCTTATCCACATTAGACAGCCAAGAGCCATAACCTCTCAATAGTGAGATGGAGTGCGCTGAAGAATTGTACACTTTTTTGGCAACTTATCAAACCAGATGCCTACATCTTACAGACTGGGGTTATTATGGTTACAGAGCTCTGAAAATGTGAGCAAGTGTTGCTGTAAGAATATGTAGGTAAAATACTTAATGTCATTATGCAAATACATTAGGTAGATGGGTGAGATATAGAGAATAATGTGTACTTTTGAAACACAGTCTGAAGAGCTCATGTTTAAACATGTAATGGCCCTTAAGCAAAATATTTAAATCTGGCCTAATGACATCAGGGGCACAGATCCATGAATGATTGCTATAAATAAGGAAACTCATCCCCGGTTGATAAAAAGATGCTCAAACTGACAGTTGTGTCTGATAGCTTATGAAAAGAGTTTAAAATCCCGTGATCCATTATGAGCTGAAGACCAGAACCCTTTTTATGTACTGTACCATGCTCAACGAGCTTTCAGAATCTCTGTAACACTGTATTCACTGTTTGTCACATCTGAAAGGACTCTATTCACCTCTGTTGGATAAAATCCCAGCTACAGACTAACATCTATTTAGTCAGGAAAAATGAAATTAAAAAAGAATGAGCCATTAGACTTTTATCTGGGTTAAAGAACGGCTACCTGCTCACCTATTGTACACCTTGTCGATGGGCTGTAGCCTCTATAAGCGACTACTAAAGAGGAATCTTAATTTATAGGGAGTCTTGGGTTATTCATCTAAAATTCTTAATACACCCAACTCAAACATTACTTTTAAGACATGCACATGGTACATTAGGATCAGAAGCAAACAAACCCACAGAGAGGGCAGCGGGCTTTGTGAGGAATGAGGCGTTGGTATCTTTAAGGATCGTGGGATTGCTAGAAGATAACAAGGATACCCCGGCACCCAGCAAAAACTCCAAACCACCAGGGAAGGGTTTTAAACAAGCTCATGCTCAATAATTAAAAGATATGACTTTCAGAAAGGAAAGCTAACTGTGACTTTTCTAGCTGCATGAAATAAAACACAAAGAAACAAACATTGTCCTTTTAAAACTGTGAAAACCTTTAAATACCAAAAATGTATTGATACTAAACATGCTAATTGTTGTTTATTTGATTTAGCTAAGTGAGTTTTATGATTGTTGTATTTTTATTTAATCTGTATACATATAAAGAAGAGACCTCTTGAGTATTTAAGAGTTTTAAATTTGTATGAACTGAAGATTAGCAAAGTTAATCCTATCCCTATGACATTTAAAAAAATAAATCAAAAGTTGCCAACACTTTTTAAAGTTACACTGTACATTACATCACACGTTTAAACTGCATGTTAAAAATGATGATACTTTTGCAAAATGACTGCTCTGGAAAAACATACATCAACATATTTCTGTAAAGATGCAGTTCAGAAGTAGGCACTTAATAGGCATGTCTCCAGTACCCTCCAGTACTACACTTTAAGTGTGTGAAATGAGAAACTTTCAACCACCTTTTTCACTACAGAGAACAGAAAACCTTTCAGAAAATAATGAAAATTCAATCTTCTGCATTCATGTTCAAAATCTACTTCATACAAGACATTTAAAAAGATTTGCATTTGAAAGTACAGAAAAAGATTGTCATACAAGTATAAAAAAAACAAAATAAATCCCTCTCTGATTCTGTTCTCTAGATAAAAAATCTGAGATGGTTGAAAGAGCTCTAGTACCATTGCCTGTTATAAACTGTACTCTCCTCAAAACGTTCTGTATTTTTAATTCTTTATTGGATAACTATGAATTCCTGTATTACTGAAGCAAAGGCTAAGTGCAGTATTGAAAACAAAATGCTAAAATGTGTATTGAGGAGGCAAAAAAAAGTACAGAATATGGCCCTAGACTAGACAAAGATACTTACAAAACTGTTTTAAATAAAGATTAACTTTCAGTCGAAACAGAAAGCTAGGCAGAAATGCAAGTCTAACTAGGGCTTGCTTCTCAGCCATGCCTCAAAACAATCTAAGCACAAGCAACTGTGATTTCTGTTTGTATTTCGAGACGTCTGGGATATTATAATATCACACTATGTGCTGTACTTTCAGCACATAAAATAGAATTCTTGTAGTAGATGTTAGCCTCTGGCCATTTCTTTAACAATTATTTTGAAACTCAGAATTCTTCTCTTTTCCCATTTGATCTGAGGTGCCAGAGTTAAGCACGCTGCTGGGTAGAAGCCTCAAGATTTTCCTATTATGGCTTTGTGACTGTATTTAACATTTTACTTAGCACCGTCTGGTTATTTAAGGATGAATCTGACTTTGCCAAAAACAGGATTTCAATCTGCAGCACACGAAACATTCCATTCTGAAAGGCACCACACATCATCTCCTCTGACGTCTTCCCTCAGCTTCTGCACCGAGAACAGTACTGACAAGTCTTATGTTTCTTTTCATGCAGAATAGTTCAGGATCACCTCACTTCCAGTTCTTATAGAATTTATTTCCACGATGCACCAAGAGCTCAAGTGCTCTTGGTAGGTTCTGCGGATACGGAAACTCGGAAGAGAAAAAGTAGATCATACCCAGAAGAGGACTGTACAGACTCAGAAAACAGCCATGTCTCGTACTCACTACACGCCAATGTTTGGACAGACTGTAAAGAAGGTTGTGGTAACTATAAGAAAAACTAAAACCAGAATAAAAACCCATAAGCAAGTGGCTTCAATGCAGAGCACAAAATGCATACATGATTAATGAAATTCTGTAGTCTGTACATAAGTTGTATAGTGTAAGTGAATAAAATTCTGCATACCAAGTTAATGTCATGGTTAAAATATCAGAAGCAGACAGGGTTGCAAGCTAAATTCACAAAAGTACTGAAGGAATAGAAGTGACTGCTGATATAAAACTGGATGCTTTATAGTAACAGTATCTGTGTCCAAGCTGTGCTCTAGCATGTGCTTCAAGGGCGACAGAAACCAAGGGAGATTTAATTGAATCCAATGCATCTTCCTGCCCTGCTGCTCTTAGGGCAGCAGCAAAGAGCAGCAGGAAGGATCAGCACGGCCACAGATCAGGTCGCGCTCTGATCTTCGGACACCTTAGCAGACATGGTGAATTCTGCTCTGCTCTGATCTTCTGTGAAAAAGAAGATGCGCAGCTCCACTGTTGCAAGAGTGTCACTGCAAGGATCAAGCCTCTCAGCAAAGCTCTCCTTTGGCTCTCTCCTTCACGTGTAGTCTTGAGCTATATACTCCCCTATAAAGTCAGGTGAAAGTTAGAGATGAGCCTTAAGCACAAGACACTTGCATCCGGTGGAACTCAGTTTAGTGCCACTTACATATCTAGTTTTGCAAACCCCAGATAAATAGTAAGGCAGCTATTTTTCGAAGGAAAATATATACAGAAAAATTAATGAGATTGGACTGAAACAACTTTTGCTGAGCTAATGAAAACAATGCCAAGCAGTTTTAGAGAGAAATGATTCAGAGCAAGAGCAATAAATACACAATGTGCTTCACTTTGAAAAATCACTACACTCCAATTCTGTTCCTTCACAGGCTCTTGTATACACTGAAGCTATGGTAAAACAGAAATATAAATTATACATACAGGATAGTACTGAAGAGACTGTGGGTGTTTGATTATACTCAGCTTCAGAAATAGCTTGTGACTATGTTGAGAATGCCTATTTAAAAAAAGCACAAAGGAGAAGCACATATAGACTGCAACTGCACCGCTGTCATCAGATCAAGCTCCCTCATATGACCTGCAAGACAGCACCTTGTCTTCTGCTAAGGCTGACTACTAAGATGGAGGTGTGACAGAAACAAACCTCACCACAGAGCCCACCCCAAAACTGCAGCACAAGCTATGTGAATGTCTCGCATTTTCCTTAAGATCAAATCACGCATAAAAAAACCACAAGAGGTATTAATTTGGTACAATATTATCAATACCCTCTTATGAAAAGACATGATTAGGAACAAATCAGTACAAGTTCACTTTGTGATGGTGAGACCCAGAATCCAGCAAACAACACAATTGGCTCCGCCTGGAATCCTGCTGACAATTTATCTATGCAACACAATATTAAAAATGTCCATGGGTCTTCTAAGCTTTTTGTCATATAATTACTGTACATGCTGTTACATCACCTTTAATTGCTATTCTCAATGTTCAAGATTATTTTGTGCAACAAACATGATTTTGCCAATACTGTACACCACTATCATTTGATATTCTGTAATCCAATGGTGATTACTAATTCTAATTAGGCAATTAAATACTGTTTTCTTGTGTCTCTCTTTGTAAAGTGAACTGCAGGCAATGAAAGGCCCCCACTCCCTCTAGGTTTCTGGTGTGGCTGGCAAGGCCTTTGGAATCTTGATTTTAGGACGGAGGATTAGCAACATGGAGAAGTGCACAAAGTGGGGAAAAAAAACTATTACAGAGCCCACAGTGATTTGGGATAATTAAAATAAAGAATTAATTGTGCTCTATGGGATTTGAACTAATTGGTTTTTCAGGATGAGCTACACAGGCACAAGGATGCCGTACGAAAACTCCGAGTGGTTAAATTCGGCCAAGCTTAAAGAGACAGGTAAAGCTCTCTTTGGTTTTCCAAATGGAAGTTCTCGAACAGGAGCAGGCCACCCTCATCCTTGAGTGCCAGATCCTGCAGGAGGCATCCTGCAATTAGCACCTGATTGAGACCTGGGAATCACAGCTCTGGTGACTTATCATCTCCTGAATTGTTTCAATGAAGTTGTTAGGGGCAGAGATGGAATGAAAACCAGAACCAAACACAGAGCTTAAAGGAAGATCGCTGGGGACCCCTGCTCTAGAATTCGGCATGAAAAACTCCCCCAGCAGGATTTTTTAAAAAGTGAGAGAGCTACAGCAAATGTGCTACCAACGCGTGAAGAGCTTCTGGCCTTACTGTAGGTTCCTAGCAGCCCCGGCAGCAGATCAATACAAACAGGGGCTTCAATTCACTCTTGCAGGATCAAGGACATGACTAACATGTAATATTTCTAAAACAGGATTCAGGATACGGCATCACAGGCTGCACTGCAAGCACGTGAAAATCCTCTGATTAGGGAAGCTGACTTACAAACAGAAATCAACACATGTTTAGTGTTTGACTACTTTTTCTTCCTATTGTCTCACACACGTGACTGAGAGGAGTGTTGTGGCAGGGCTGAAGCATGGCTGGAGCGAGTCCAGTGTCAGTTAATTATCACCAGTTCAGACAAAAGAGTGGATCAAACTCCTCTCTTGGCCAGTCGTAGTTTCTGAGAACTCTTTCATAACCTTTTTATGTTTTATGAGGATGTGCACAAAAACAGAAATGTTGCCCGTTAATTCCCAAAATAATTGGCAAAACTTCGAGAGTGTCAGTTTAACAGCTGCTGAGGGTAACGTGGGTATGTGAATTCTCCTTGTTTCTCTTAACGACTCAGCCTGCGTTTTAACGGTTTTAAATTTAATTGGGATGAAACAGTGAAAATGAAAACAAAATGCTGTTACCCCCCCCAAAGTGTCTTCCTTTAAGAAATTGTTCCACTTGCTGAAATTAATTTTCTTTTGTTGCTTTTCATAAAGGGATACTGACATTTTATATTTTCTATGCGATTTATGTTTTTTCAAATTTGGATTGGAGTTCAATTCTGATTTATTTCCCCCAAAAGCTTTGACTTGATTCCAATTGTTGACACTGGATGTGCCTTTAACTATCATGCCAGTTCATAGCAAGCTTCTCTTCAGCATCAAAAGTTAAACCCAAGCAGAAGTAATATCTTTGGCACGTTTATACCCTTCTTAAAGGTTTCTGATTCAAACTGCACTGAGAACCTTTTGCATGTTTGATAAGGGTTTTCTTTCCATCTATATTCTTTATTATTTTTTGTGTTTCCTTAGAGGAATAGTACCACTGTGTAGTTCAACTTTGGTTAGGGTACGAAAAGGTCTTACGTGGTGTGGTGTCATCACCATAGCCAAAAATTGAAAAAGAAGCTGATTGTGGACAAATACTGAAAACATCCTGCCTAGTGTGGCTTTCGAAATATACATAGTATGTGTCTCTCTATGCAACTGAAAATCACCAATGAAATCCCATACTGCAAAACTGTAGCCTCATATCTTCCAGCCTAGTTTGGCCTTTTACCTCTAATAGTAATAATCAAAATGATGTCTTTCCCTGTTGACCCTGTAACCTTCTTGTTGTTTATTAATTACTGTTCTGTGGCAGCTCTGTTCAGCTCTTCACCTCTGAAGACTGGAACTATGCAGGCACCGATTGATTTATATGGTGAAAGGTAAATAAACTCCAGTCAGGGTTGCATAAAAGATTACTCTCTCCTAGGTGTCCCAAGAAAGTGGTGATGGACACTCTGTTTCAACAGGTACTGCAGTGGCTTCAACCTTAAGGACATTAAGGGCCAGGGAGATAACACACATCTCTAGGAATGATACATGATAAAGTAGGACTTTGGACAAAAGCTCAGCTACTGTACATTACTGAAAAAGGCAGCCTCTGTAGCATGAGAGCAGCAGAGGTTCCCCTAAAAAACCTCTGCCTCTGAAACTGGACCACTCTTGCAAAGAGGATACTCTCTGTTCCTCCAGGCAATGAGGATCACAGTTTTATTGCCCTTGCAGTTCTTTGTTACCCTTGTGAAAACAAGCATGGGACAACTGAAAATTCCAGTTTAGTGATGCAGTATAGTGCCACTACTGAAAAAAAAAATAAATAAAGGGTTAAATCAGGGTTAATGCCACAAAGTCTCAAAATGATAACTGATTCCAAAGCTTAACATCTTGGTCAATGCTTTTTCTCTGCATTCTAAGCTATCCATTTTAAGCTCTCTGCTTTCTCGATAACTCAGTGTCACCGATGTTCAACGCACCACCCTCCTATGTCTTGACACTGTGGCTAGTAGCCTTTGCATAAGAAGTACAGTTACAGCTGAGCATCCAAGAAAAAGATTCTAATCCAATTGGGATTTTGTTATCCTGATCCTTTAGAGCCACACCAAAAGTTCAGCAGGGAGTATATAAGAGAACTGTGCAGAAACCTTAAAATAAAATATCTAGGACAATACATGCTCACTGCCCCATGGCGAAGTAGTGTGGAGTTCTGGGTCGGATTTCTGCTACTGTACTGCATTTTGGAAGAAAAGCCTAGCAGTACAGAGGAACCTGTCCACAACTTAAAGGATCACTAAGTTCATGCTCTGACAAATGGATTAAATGTATTAATATTTTCCAGCAAGTACGTAAGCCTAAAGTAAATTGTACTAAAATATACAACTATGAAAGAATGGTTTTAAACAGCAGTTATAACCGTACAAGCATCAGCAAATTTTTGTTTATAAAGATTTTTTGTTTCCAAGAACAGAGTGAAGCATATATGAAAAATCTCTTTACGTACTGTATACAACATTTGTTTTCTTCTGTGCACGGCAACAACTGTTGTTAGAGGGAATACACTGCTGAAAAGAATAAATTAAAAGATAAAAAATATACAAAACGGTACAGATTTAAATTAATATGCCTGCTCATGAACACTGCTCATGTAAATACATAGCAACAGAACTAATAAAAAGCAAAAAACATTGATTAATGAAAAAAGAAAAGGCTTCTCTAACACAGTGACCCCTAAACTTTTGTATCATCTAAAACTTTTTTGTCCTCTATAACTACAATAACTCTGGTATCAGTAGTGCACTTATTGGTTTAAGCAGTGCAACGTATATGCAAGGAAATAATGCAGTCCTCTTCTTGAGTGTTGAGAAAGATATTTAGAGATTCTCTTAGAAAAATCCATAGAACTTCAGGTTTTTGAGTAAAACAATTCAGCACAGACATTTGAAGTAAATGTGCAAATTATCACTTTTAGTCTACTATATTACTGTATAAAATGAGACTAAATCTAGCAAGTCTCACTGTTTGCTGTCTTTCTATCCCCATTCACTATAACAGCCGTGAGCTAATTCAAGGAACATGAGCAAAACCTTTTCGACTACAGGTGCAGGCAGTGGTATACCTCAGTATAACTACTCCTTGGCCTGACAAAGTCTCTCTCACACACACCAGCCACCAATATCAGAGCAGAGCTACTTGTGACACTGAAACATAACCCTTTTACCTACTCCCTATCCATTTCTCACACCATATGTGTGGTTATTATGGCCTGGGAATGTACTGAAATAGTTTCAAAGTCATCTACAAGCGTAGTTTATTAGTCAAATGACTTGGAAAACTTTGTGTTTTTTTTCCTTGTGTCTTGTGTAACATCTGTTATTTCCTGTCAGAAAAAGTATGGACTTCCTGTTTGAGTCACCAGGTGGTGCTAAAGTATCAGAAGTAGTGCATTTCAGTTTGAGCCACCTGTTGGCACTGAAGTGGCAGTCTCATGATTTTGCTGACAGAACATACAGAGATTTTCAAGGTACAAGGCCATGGTAGGAGACAAATGAGAAAATAAAGTCCCAAAAACTATGCATCTTTAAACTATTCCAATCTACAGACGTGATCTTAATTCTTGGTAAACCTTTCAAAAATCATAATAATCATAAAAAAAATGTTGATTGGAAACAGCAGCTGATAACAGTCTGAAGCAAAGAAAGTAAAAATGAGCAGCAATCAAAACTGACAGCATGCTAGGCAGCATACACAAGTCTAATGCTGTCACAACCACAAACTTCAAAATAATAAAAATATAAACCAAAACAAGAACATTTCTGTTTCTTTTTAAACTCACATTTTCTAACTGGAAGAGGTCAAAGGGCAAACAGCCTTAACAGTCTTCTAAGGTATTAGTGGCAGTGTATGCAAATTAAACAAGAAAAAAGAATCCTTAATCTTAAATGTTTGCTCAAATACTGTTGTACAAAACAAATCTCTGGTTCGTAAACGTTACTTGAACCATCAAAACGCATGGAGAAAAAAATATCATTCCTTTACCCATTCTTAAGTAGTAACATTTTATCACAATTAAGAAATTGTCTTGTACCTAACGACAGCTGCTTTTTCATCCCTCCATAACCGTTACAATAAATAATAACCCAGTGTCATAATGATAACTCTCCTTTTCTTATCCTATATATAAAAGGCAAACTTGTGACCACCATTATGTCAGAATGAAAACAAAGTACAAACCAGGTACTTTTCAAAAGAGGCCTGTATACCACAGTTAGCATGGACACTCATAGTGTCCAAGACGGTCTTAATGGGAACATCTACTTTTTAAAATTTCTCTGTATGCATGTGTGTTTGCTTTTTAGAGATAGTAGGCCTTTCTGTAGTGTTCAACACATAAACCAGTATTAGAAGAAAGCATACATTTAGAGGCCTGTAGTAAGGATCCAACCAGTGGACCGTTAGCAAACTACATAGCCTTAAGGCCACCATCTTTGTTTTCTTTAAGAATACCAAAAAAAAAAAGTATCTCGTCTCTGGGAAACTTAATGTGCCAGTGTCTATACTCTTCATGCCCCAAAATAAGAAAAAATCTAGTGCCATTTTCTTTTTTATTCTATAGAAGTTTTAAGTTTGTTTTCTTTAAAAAAAAAAATTTTGTTTTACTTATCCATCCGAGACATGCATGCGCATGTGGTCGTTGAAATGCTCGATTTGGTCAAACTTGGCCGGGCAGACCGAGCACACGTAGGTGGTCCCCTCCTGGCAGCCCGCCTCGGCGGTGGCTCCCACTCCCACTCCGGCTCCGGGCCCCGCGCCGGCTCCTCCGGTCAGGGGCATGGCCGCAGCCACGACCCCGGCTCCAGGCTCGGGCACGGGGATAGGCACTGGGATGGACACGGGGCCCCCGCCCCCCGCGGCCCCGCCCACCCCCGTGACCCCACCCCCGGCGGTGACCCCGCCCCCGTTGCCAGTGCTGTGCAGGGTCATGTGTCTCTCCAGCAGGGTTTTGTGGGAGAATTTTTTCTTGCAGACGTAGCACTCATAGGACTTCTCCCCGCGGTGCAGTCGCATGTGGACGTTCAGGGAGCTCTTCTGGGTGAAGCGCTTGTTGCAGATGCTGCACTGGTAGGCCCGGACCCCCGTGTGCGTCACCATGTGTTTTATTAGGTAATCCTTCAAGGAAAAAGAACGCCAGCAGATGCTGCACTGGTGCGGTTTCTCACCTAGACATACACAAAAGTCACATTTATTAGGAAAAAAATCACAAACCACAGGCAGGAGGCCTCTCCCTCTAAACGTGACTGGTCAACACGGACGGTTTCCATGAGCCTTAATCCACTGAAGGAGCCACCCACTGATCTTTGACTCAGGCACTCTTCCACACATCGCGGATTCCCTGACTGGGCCCTGAGCTCATATTTGCACAGCTGCAGCTTGGAGAATATAGTCCAGGGTCAATCTGATAGACACAGATTGCCATCGCTTTATTCAACTGCAAGTACTGAAATACAGGTGTGTGCCATTTTATGTTTATTCTTTTTGATCCACTCATGGTGTATATATTAGAGAAGCACTTTCATTCACTTCACGTCCTTTTCTTTCAATTTGCATTTCCTATTATACATGTTCTTTGCCATTCTGTGCTGAAGGTTTGGCTTAGACTTATATTTTCCATCTTGAATAAACGCTTAATCAAAAACAGACTCTGATAGGATTTCTCAAAGTCGATGGTGAGGAAGTTTACAAAGGGGAAGCAGATCAGGCCAGGAATGTCTTGTTGATGAGTCTCTGTATAGGTCAGGGATGAAAACATAACTCCCACTGCACAGCCGCTTGATCCATTTCAGATTTTATGAGTTGCAGCGTAACTAAATATAATTATATAAGGTAGTTGATGTTTTTTAACAGATTTCATAACATTTTCTCCTCAGACATTCGACAGTCCACTTTTGAATTTCAATATTCTCCCTCGAGAAATAAATGTCAAACATATTTCAATATTGGAATGCTGGATTTCCTGGCCAAAGAATAAAACAATGTATATATTCTGGGAATGAATATTAATTAACTCTTGCTCTGTTCAAAACAGCTGCCAATGGCGGCTAACGTTGACTTTATAGACGCACAAAGCAGAATTATAAATGCCTCTTTAGATGGTTCCACCCCCCTCTGTGTTCTGAAATGGCAGGAGCTAATTAATATCTGTTGGCATAATTCACTGCCGTTGCATTCTCTTAAAATCCAACATAAATCAGAAATGTAGTCCTTGTAAGATTATATATTTACTTTTCTACATCATCAGTAGACGGTAACACACCCCACAGCTTGTAAAGCCTGAAACGGATCAAGCTGCGATGCAACGGGAGTCAAATTTCCCTGCAGCAAGTGGTGAGCAACAGTGCCAGTACCTGTCACATGGCTCTCACAAGTCTTTGCATAAACTAGTATTATTCCCGAAACACTTCGGTGGGATTAAATCAAATGTTTGACCTAGCCTCCAACCACAAATTACAAACCTAGTCTGTAACCCTAAATGATGGGTTTTCACTGGGCAGGAGTAAAAGCCTCTGGGGTAGAGAATTCAGGTTTGTACACTGACTGGATGACTGGATCGAGGTTTTGGCTTCATCCAGCCTGGCATTTCTTTGTAGAAACAAGCAGTAGACACTCATAGAACACCCAGTGGCAATACAGTAGGCGATACATTAGAGATCACGTAGTGACAAACCGCGTGTAGGATACAGTTAGGTCCTGTTAGTGCCCATCAGGAAGAAAAACCCTCCTCTGTCAGCAAAAACCTGACTTCACACTATTTTCTGCTTGCCATCTATGATTCTGCTTTGCTACACGAATAACCCTCTTGACAGATGGGAAAAGAAATACTGATACTGAAAGACTTGGTCACAGATACCGCAGTGTTTCTCTGTATCTAAAGTATTTCTCTGTACTTGCTTTGCCTGATGTCTCTTGACCGTTCTAGATTGGATGAATCTCATCAATATGGATTAGAAGGGACTGGTCTGAATCAAATGTGAAGGGAACATTTGCACAGATCTTATTAATGAATGGCAATGAACTCAGAATGCAAAGTTGATTTCGTCCACAAAGAATAATAATGCATAATGTACTTTTGACTCAGGACCAGTTCGTCAGACATCAGACTCATTTTGGGCACCGAATCTGGCACAGCACAACAGCTATTGTAACATAATTACTATGAGTAAGAAGGAAGAACCAAGCTTATGGAAATTTAGTTTTTAATAAAACTCCACAAGCTACTTTAAAAACATTAAAAGACTGAATCTATGTTTAATGGAAAAATACATTTCCAGCACCTTAGGTCAAGAGCTGATGCACGAGGGAGCTGTAAAGACTGATCAGGGCCATCTTGCCCTGATAATGTACAGGATTGCTTCCATTTTGACAAAGCCACTAACAGAATGATGAGAGGTGGCTGCTCTGGAAGGGCTTATATTTTTCCTCTCCTGCTTTACTTTTTTGTGAATGTAATGCAAATCTAAGAACCACCTTTGCTAATTAATAATCAGCATAATTAAAATGATGTACAGTGCCAAGCCGAAGGGTGCCTTAGCGCTCTGTTCAAATGAAAAGAAGATGAACCTTTTGCTGAGCCCAGTATTACAGGCTGAATTGTAATCTTCTGAGGCACCCCTAGCTTCCTCTCAAATTACTATTCCATTGTTCGAAATTTACATCTCCCTGAGCTAAAACAACAGCAAATAAATTGCTGGCTCAGGGATAAGGCATATTAATGTAGCCTGGGGCATTTCTGTGGACAAACGGATGATGGGGTATGCATATTCTGATGAATAAATATTTATCAGTTACAGAAGCTAAAAGAAAAAACCCTCTCTGAAGAAGCTATCGAAATAATGAATAATGTGAACAGATTACAATCAGGTAACACGATTGATTTGAACATGAAATCTCGTGATGATTGTCAGTCACAGACAAACTGCTAGGAGCTCGGATCGTTGTTTTAGATCAACAGTGACGAAAATTAAATGCACAGGTGAATATAGTCCTGTTTGTTTTTTTTTCTGCCTGATTCTTTGTGGTTGGTATTGAATGGTATTTCCCCCTATTTACTTTAAAACAACAATGCATGTCTTGTTGACTAGATGTGCAAATAGTAACACTTCATAATTAAAGGTTCAATAATAAATGGTAACTTATACTTTATTATTACTTAATAGATCATTAATACAAAGTATCCTGTTAATAGACCAGTTACATTTATATTTATGCATTTTGCAGAGAAAAGTGAGCCTACTGTACATAAAGCACAGCCCATGGAATATTTTTACTGCTTTAAAAACAAGATATTACAGTGATCACACAACATAACTGAGGGTTTGATGTTCAAGAGCATCCCTCTCAAAGCACACCTGCAGTGTTTTCATATTACAACACACTACATGAAGACAACATGAGCAGATGTTAGTAACTGTATGTCTAACTAGTATATTAATTGTTAATGTATGATGTATCCTATAACTATGGTGAGTTCATCAAAGGTGAATAAAGGATTTATTACTGCGCCTCATTATAAAGTGTTACAGTGCAAATACATGATCATTTTCCATTCATGTAGATTATTTAAAAAAAGGTAGCCTTTAAAACTATGCTTTGCGTATGAAGGACTATAAACACGATCAGTCAGAATGAGAAGGTTCACAAGGCTTGTTTTTACTGCTGGCAGACAATAGGAAACTAATGTTTTATCCTCACTGCCAGCGGAGAAACTAGGCTCGCTCCATGCAGTGCATGCATCGCTAATGTCTTGAAACAGGCGCGCAGCTACTCACCTGTGTGCACAAACATGTGTTTGACGTAGTTCTGTTTGGCAGTAAAGGTCTTGCTGCAGAGAGTGCACTCGTAGGGCTTCTTCTCGCCCTGGCCGGCCCCCGCGGCCCCCTGCCCCGCCGGCGGCTGCGCCGAGGGCTGCTGGGCCGACAGGGGAGTGGAGAAGGGCGTCAGGCTGGGAGGCGGCACGGCCACAAACTGAGGCTGCTGGCCGCCCAGCGACTGCGGCAGGCTGAACAGGAAGGGCTTGTTGCTGCCCGCCGACTGTGTGGCAAACAGGGTTGGCAGGTAGGTGTTTCCAGCGGTGCCAATGACCTGGGTGTTGCTAGTCAGGGTTAAGGGCATCCTCAGGTTGCTGGTGAGGGCGTCCGGCTGCCGCAAGTAGAGCTGGGTGCTGGGCACAGGCTGCGATATAATGGGGTTCAAGGAAGATTGCAGCACCATCTTCTCGTTGAGAATGGCGACCTCCCCCACCGGCTGGGAGCCCGCCGCGTCGCCGTTCACATCGTTCATCTGCTCCGGCGAGGAGTCGTTCACCTCGATGTGCTGGGATTGCTCTCCCAGGAGCTCAGCCGGCTCCGCCTGCATGCCGTCCGGGTTGCCCTCCCTCCCGAAGCCGGCCAGGTACTGCTGCTCCACCGAGTCAGGCTCCGTGCCGATGGAGGAGCTCACCCCCGAGTCGAAGCTCTCCCCCTTGGGCTCGCTCTCCGTACCCTCCGCCTGATCCGTGTCCTCGTTGCACTCCTCGGACTCGTTGCGCTCGAGGCCCTGCATCCGGTCCTGACCGTAGCAGTTGTAGTCGTCTTCCACCTCCTGCTTGATGTGCACGCTGCCCGTCTGGATGCGGACGGGCCGCGGCTGTTTCCGGCAGTGGGTGGTCTCGGGGGTGGAGAGGAACCTCTCCATCTGCTGTGTTCTCTCGTGGATGCGGGTGATCCAGGCCGGGTCCTGCACGTGCTGATCTTTCTGGAGTGACAGAGCCGAGTCATAGTTGCCCACTATAGCCCCTCCATAGTAGGTGCGCTCTCCTGTACCGTTCTGCAAGGAGATCCCGGAGCAGGTGTACAGAGACGTGTAGATCCGGTCCAGGCTTTGCTGGGAGTGGGGCTGCATGTAGCCGGACTCTGCATCGCTGCTGGGCCCCGAGGTGCCAGATTCAGGGGTGCCCCTGGGTGTCTCCTGGCCAGAGTCCCCAGGGATCAGCGGAAAGCCCCGGGTCCCGCTGGAGCCCACGTTCTGCGAGACGATGCGGGTGCATTCGTCAATGACAGTCTTGATCTGCAGGATGCTGGCGGCCGTTAGGATCTGCAAGGCCTCCGACTGAGACACGCGCAGCACCCCGCTGTACATGAAGTCAATCAGCTTCTGGATGGACTGTACTGAGACCACAGAGGGGATCTCGATGTCGCTGTAGCCCAGGAGGAGCTTGTCCTGAAAGAAGGGGCTCCCAGCCGCCAGCACACAGCGGTGGGCGCGCAGCATGCTCCCATGGATCCGAACTGTCACGTCACAGAAGTGGCCGCGGTTGCGCTGCTCATTGAGGGTCTCAAGTACAGAATTGCTGAAGTTGTGAAGGTTGATGCTGTGAATGCGCTCGGTCATCCCCTTGCAACTGAGGTCCCCTGGCACACACACACAGAAAACAACAACTCGGGTCAGGGACAAGGAAACAGCGGGCTAACAGATTGCATTTATTTTCTAGCTAAAATGTGGATGTGTGGACTTAAAACTGAGAACAGGAGGCACTTCCTTGCCTGACAAGGTTGGTGGGAAGAAGGAAGAAGCTGCCCAGCCATGTTGTTGAAGCCAATACCCTGGCTTCTTTCAAGAAAACTGCTGGACGAGGTCCTGGGATCAATTAGCTACTGTCAAATGGGACAGATGGATTGAATGGCTTCCTCTTAATGTAACATCTCTTATGTTCTTATGGAAAATAAAAATATATACATATGGACATGATGGAAATGAGTGATGGAAGAAAAAGGCAGTTTTCCCTTTGTGCTTAATGCCATAATGATACTGGCATTAAGAGACTACAGGACAAACATAAAAACAACAAACAAGTCAAAAACCATCTCAGTGGGCACTCAAAATTAATGCTGAAAGGAGCTGGTAGGGCAGTTTAAACATTCAGGTGTTTTTTAGAGATATATCTTAGCCATTTTAAATAAATTCTCAATTGTGTTAATGGGCTTTTTTTGCTTTAAACATCACAGTTCCATATCTCTTGAACTCTCTTATTATGCTTTCCTTCCACTGTTAAATTATTTTGATCTGGTTTCAGTCTCTCAGTAATTGTAGCGACTGGAGTTGATTACTTGTGAAGTGCAAATAGATACAGGGCACAACCACGCAGTGTGAAAAAGAAAATGACCTAGGCTAATAAGAACAGATCAAACAGAAAACTAATTAACCAGGGTTGTACTGGTTTAGATGAATGCTGCAAATAAACCTATCTAGGACTTCAGTAATTCTGTAGTTTTTAAATCAGAAAATAAACTAAGGTTTCACCACAATCGGCTTCTGCACACTGTGGTGAGGATACATTTTGAATGATGTGGATTGAAAGCAGGATAAAGTCATGCCGATATTGAATAACCTCTGCAGAGTTTTAAAGTTCCTATAGTTGCAATTTTCACCATTTGTAATCATTAAGGAGGGATGAGTGTTAGTATATGCATAGCATGCACACAGATCAGCCCAGTGAATCAGCAGCTCACATACCGTACAGTGCAGCATAAATATGTTGAGTTTCATACAATTATCATACATGCACATTTAGCACTGAAAAAGCAATCATACAATTATCCAGCAATAATAACCTGGAATCCTTAGTCATATTAATCAGAATTCAATTTTAGACCTTCCTGAATATGAATTGTGCTTGTCCTGATTTCTGTGCAGATTAGTTGAAGTTTATGTCTTTGTAAGACAGTTCTGAGGTGCCGAAGAGACCGCACAGCTGCCCTACTCAAGGAACTATCTCTGCATTATTTTTTTAAAATGGCATTTCATCGTTAAGGGATAATAAGATCAATGGTACTAAAGCTAATTAGAAGAAGAAAAATAGATTTTAAAAACTCCGCAAGACTGTTTCAGGTTAGAAACACACTAATCACCTCTCTTAAGATGTATCTTTTCTTTGTCTTTCTCTGCATTAAAACTTGATGCTACTTCTCCTGAAGTACAAGAACCTGCCTCTTATAATCCATTTAATCTGAAGACATCAATCACTGGCCGACTTCACAGGCTACAGAAGAAAGTAATAAAAAGTGATAATGAAGTGAGGAAGGGCTATTATTTCCTTGAAGATATGTGGTTAAGTACCATTGGTTGGCTGTTAATTAGAGATCCATTCTAATAACTACAGTTTCTTGCATGTGAAAGAGTAGCAACAGGCTACCCTGAAAGAACAGCATAAAAATAAATGTCTCCAAGGCTCTTACAGTTTGCCTTGTGATCAATAATGCAGACCCACGTTTGCCACCTGACTGGGGCAACACAGTCTGGTGACAAAACGCTGTAAGTGCACTTTTCTGAAACCAAAGCCATCTATCAACTTACAGCTCATCCTTCTTGGCAAACCAAAAACAGAAAGCAATACATTTGATATCGATTCCAAGAGGTCTCTGTGCACAAGTAAAACCAGTTGTTTTGTCTCTACCAGTTGCTTTGATAAGCTTTATGCTTTATGCAGCTTTCTCATCCCCTGGGTATTTTAGAACAAGGAATAACTATAAGCTGAAAATATTAGACGTCATCCACCTCCAGGCACATGTGATAATTGAATAATTAGAGGTTTTATTTGCATTTGGAAACAGCAGCTCAACATCTGCTGTAAAGTGAAGGCTTTGAGCTGTCTCTCTAAAGAATGCTGTAATCAGCAAGCCAAAGGTAAGTGCTTAATGTGACAGTGTGAACTGTAAAGGAGGTCTTTTAATTTTTTATCGAATGACAGTCTGAATCAAGACTTACACTTTGCAAGCATGAACAAATTATTAATTAACCATCCATGCAAGGGGCATAGGAAATTGCTGTAAGAGGATTCAAAGAAATAGTACTATTTTCCAGGTAATGGTTAAGTCACAATTGTGGTCAGTGAATTTCTAATTTGTTTTATTTTTTGTTCAACTTTAATTGACTTAGTTTTTAATTGAACCTTTTCTTGTCTTTTGGTTAATTTCTAGAATTCCAGAAACTGTAACAATTAAGCTGCACTAATATCTTTTTAACTCCAGAAATTATGGAGGAATAATCCCAGCTTCCAATCAGAAAAGTTCTGCTCATACCCGTTCTACGGAAGGGGAGGAAGAGGAGGCCCAGTGGCTGATTGGACAATTAGCAGGTTGCTGTGAAACATGGGAACTGAACCTTTCACCCTCCGGTCACATGCTCAGACAATATGGGGCATGCAAAGACGATGGAAAAAGATAAGTGGGAAAAACCCTATTTCAAGACTTTCTCAAACAAAACATAACTGTGCATTACATGCATAACATCCCCCAGTGTGGTCCTGTTCTAGGTGGAGGAGGAGAACTGCAAGGTCATGTGGAGATCATTACACCTCCCAGTTGCTGCTTTGCTGTTCTGAGGATTATTTACTTTGAGGATTTATGCATCCATTTCCTCTAGCTTTCTTCTGACTATATCCCCAGGAGCATCTCAGACTAAGCTGGACATCTTTCAAACCATTTGGCATGGTTGCACAGAACCCGTCCCCCGTGTCCAAGGGAGAAAGCAGAGCGGCTTGTCTGACGACACACCCGCACAGAGCACTCCTGACATGAGCCCAGACAGTAGTCAAAGGGCAGTCGAGAGCATGATGGGAGAACTGCAACGTCTCCTGAACATAACTTGAACATGGTTAAAAGCCAGCTTGTAATTTACAAGCCCCGAGAGCTAGGAGGCGCAGTGCCCAGTTAAATGGCTGTTGCTGTGAGTGACCTGAGGACGACAGAGCCAGTGGTCTTCCACGTGGCGTCTGTGAGTGGCCCAGCATATTCGGGGGTGACCTGAGTGAGCAGCGAGCGGCTTGCCCAGCTCTAACTGCAAAATGCTGAGGGGCTTTCCGACGAGAGGCAGCATTCAGCCGAGAAAGGGCCGGGTTCCTAGGGGCTGGAACGCTGGGAGTGACGGGCCGTCCCCGAGCTGACGAGGCAGAGGAGGTGGTTGAGTGTAAAGCGATCCCGCAGAGGAGGAGGGGAGGGTCGCTGGCTGATACTGAAACACACTTGTCCCCAGCGGTTATCCAGTTAGCACATGACCCAGAGCTGACCCATGTCTCTACACTCTCACATCATTTCCACACAGTGGTCTGGTGTACCTGGCAGTGCGCAGCTCTGACTGACTGTGTCTTTCCAGCGCTCTGTAAGCCAGCAGAATGTGGAATGCCTTGGCATGAAATCTAATTTCTTACAGTAAATGCTAGTAAATGGGGAAACGAGTCATTTTTATTCAGCTGTGGCATACCAGACATTTCCCAAACTTTCTTCATTACCTTACCATACATTTACTTAGTCCAGATCACCCCTGTCATCCGTTTGACATGGGGATGGTAATGCATTTTCAATCTGAATAGGGTGACGCACTCTAATCTCTTTAATTAGCTCCATTATATCCTTTCTGGTTCAAGGCCCCCGATGTTTTTGACATTTTTTTTTAAAGAGCAAAAGAAATAAGCTCAAATGGCGCACAGCATATTTTATAGAAGATGAAAAATAAAACCTTTTGGTTTCTTAGTGAAGCCAAAAAAGGAATAAATTGCACAATATTAAACATTTATAGTTGGCTAATGTATTCATACCCCTCGTAGTGATGTAACCAAGTTGGTTCCAGCTCAACAACTAAGTCTTTCTGGCACGACATAAATGGAAACACCACGTCAATACTGATCACCACAAAAACAGCTGTCCACAATAATACTGTATAGAATTCTAAATACACAATGTTGAAAATGATCAACAGCTCAGCAATCTGTATTTTTCTATTCTAACACTGGCACTGACAATATAGAGTAGTTGGGTTGAGGTCTGGAGATCACTAGGGCCAATAAGGAACGTGGACCTTATGCTTCCTTAACCATATGGTTATAGACATGAGGGGGTGCTTGAGGACATTATCCTGCAGGTGCTAATTTGACACCAGGAAACTGGGTTGTGGATAAAATCTGATTTGCTCGGAAATCCATCTGTCACTTAGGCCTATTTCTATCAATTAAAGAGGTCCAGGTCTAGATGATGCAAAGACAACCCCACTTCCATGTTTCACAGAAAAGATGATATTCTTTCTCAACATGAACATCACCTTTCCCTGCTTAGCGTACCTCTAGCGAGACTGTCCAAAAACTGGGGGTCGAGGTTTTTTTCTTTTATGCTGTGGAACGTGGTTTGCCACAGACACTAGTTTCTTGAGGTAAATTGTGAACAGTAGTCTTGGAAACGCTGTATATTTAAGTTTCTTTCTTTAAAGATTCCCTATTGTTGTCATTGGGTGTATGATAGCCTCCGAGACAGCTGTTCTGACAAAACCTTCCTACATCCTCTTCTGGTGGAGTAGCAACCATCTTGAACTTCTGAATGAACACCAGTTGAAACTAGAATGTCTTATATGTCAATAGAGTTGTTGAGGTCAACAATCTTTTAGTGTATGTTTCCACAATTCTGTGATTTTCCCACTGATCACATGGCTCTGAGTATTGTGCTTTTGCATTCTCCATTGAAGTCATTCAAGGTGATTTTTAGAAGAATCTGTAAGAGTTCCAAGGCTTTGTAAAACTACCCAACGATTAAAAAACATTTAAGTTTTTTTGTTAATAACCACTATTCCTGACATATTTTCAGGGTGTGAATACATTTGAATGTTAATATTTAGAAATATATGCAATTATTTTGGACAGGTTATGCTTTTAATGTTATGGTTAATGGTGTTTTGATTTATACAACAAATACTAAATGTATACCTGCATTCTTTTATAAACCAAACTTTACTTACATTGAATACATTTGGACATAGGTGCATATAATCCAGAAACCACAGATAGTAAAGAGAACTACAGTGCATGAGCAGCATGTAGAGTTTAGTTACATTTTAGCATGGAAGAAGTTATTTCAGTTCACATTTACAAGAGTAGGCTTTTATATGGATAAACATGGAAATTCCATGGACACTATATATGACACACTCTTTATAAACACAGAGCAGGATGCTAGGCCTAGCACTCTGCCATAATTTTGCATGCTTGTGTTAAAAAACACAGGTCCTTGTCCCTCTAACAGCATCTTACTTACGGTCAGATGACGTGGTGTTGAATATGTGTTTATGAAGCTGGTGAGGACACACTGGACAAGCTACAGGTCTCTGGCAGAGAGTGCCCAGCACGGTGCAGACTGTGCCCCAGGGAGTAATGTCATTCTTCTCTGCCGATACCAAATGTCTTTCAGCTGCTGTGTGGTTTCTTCTAGGACACAAAAGAGGGACTCATTAAAACAGTGCTTTTGTGTGCCACTCTGCAGGTCTTTTCCAAAACACAGAAAGAAAAAATCCTTCCCTCTGCCTGACTACGGCTGCTTCAACACGTACTGCTTGGGCCGTAATGAGGCTAACTCAAACCCGCATGTTAAGCTTCCTGTTTCGGTGACTGCTTTCAGTGAAAAGCAGACCATACAGCCACCTGACTGCCATTAGAAACGTCTGGAGTCAACAGCATATAGAACTGCTGTTTTTACTTTTTATTTTTTTTTCTAAAAACGGAGGAAAAATGGAAATCATTAACAACCTAATAAGAGTGGAATGCATACTAAATGTCCATTAGTGTATATGGTTCATTTAAGGACGAGTTGTCTGGCTTCCAAACTCAAATTCTGTTGAATAATTTACAGCATTTTCGTGAGCTCCTACAACTGTACAAAACCTTCTACAATGGAAAAAAGCAAAAGCAAAGGGTATAGTGCTGTGAAACCTTGACAAGGGGAGAAGAATATATAGATTAGATCACAGAAATTCCAAGAGGAGGGTATGTACCAGCCAAGCCACAGCGGCTCATCTAACGTTCTGACAAAGATTGATTTTCTATTGATTTTGACGCTGAGGTGCAGCTTCATTTTGCTTGCCCTGAAGGGCTGGTGGAAAGGTTTCAACCAGGCCTGCTTCATGACAGCTCTCAACTCTCACATTTGATGATGGAGGCCAAATTACAAAAAAAAAAAAAAAGAGACAGCTTATTGGCAGCTAGCTTCTGGGAAATTGTCATTGAATCTCTTCAATATGATCAGCTGAGGAGCGGTTACATTCATACAGCTGTTTATAAGATCTAAGTCATACATTAGTGGTAAATAATGGTTACTGGCTTGACTAGGAAGAATTGTGAATGAACTATACTTGCTGAATGCATGCTGAGTGGTGCGTCTCTAACCAGTAGAACATGTTTTGTGGCTCACTGTATGGAATTATTTTGAGGACCTTTAACATAATTTCTAGATTTAAAAATGCTGCTACAGTATATGTGTCTGCCTAAAATTTTCTCGTACGCTTCATAAATCACAGAAAAGTCTTGTGAATCCAATGTTTACTTCGAGAAAAAATGAGCCCACTGCTACCGCCATGTTTATCATGTGGAGCATTGCAAGGCATGCAAATAAGGTCATAAAGATTATTGGCCCGTCTCCATTAGTCCTGTGAGTTTCATTACCCTGCCTAATCACCTTCACTGTTTCAGTACATTACTGTACACTGCACTGAATAGTGAGCACATTTACACACCATTATCATGGTGGTACTGAATCACAGGCTTCAGCATGGACAGAAATGCTTAATAACCTTGTCAGTGTCTCAAATGGTTAAACATTTGACAGTGTTCAAGTCTGCCGCAGTCTAGCGGATATGCTAGAGTGTGACCTTTGAACCTTTAAATTTTGACATTGAACCATTATTTTGTGGGTTCCCAGTATACAGCACACCAGTGTCCAGTCTCACCATTGTGCTCATGTCGGTCTCTTTTTGGTTCATCTTATTCAGTACTGCCTGGCACATTGGGCTCTTCAGCGGTGTGCCTTTTTGTCATTTGCCGCCTTAGGAAGGCTCGACAGCCAAAATGCTGAGTTTCTTCTTTTTACTTTTCAGCGTGTAAATTTACCTTTACTTGTTCCTCGTCAGCCTACACACGCTGACAATGCTCCCCACTTCAACTTCTTTTGGTTGTTACTGTGCTTTTATCACATGTGAAGAAATGCACAGGGGTGATTTCTGGGAGCCACTGTACATTTTGAAGCATGTCTGATGCTCAGATCCCTTCATAGCCACTGCCGAATCTCTGTGAAGTCCTTGGAGCCATTAATGATCCCCTTTCAAGATGTGATCATCTGGCCTGCAGCTCTCTAAATGGTACCACCTCCTCGATCAGCTGACCCCTTCCCATGGCTAGTAGTTAAATACTTCCACCTGACCCTGATGGAACTCATCTCCTCAAGCTTCTTCAAGGCAGAAGCATTGAAATAATTATTGAACTGGCTCAGCAGTTCAGACTCAGGTTTCACCACATCACATGAAAAAATCAAGCAAACTACTAATTTAGCTTTAATTTATTTTAAACATTCACGTGAATAATCTCAGTGATTACTATCACCATCATGGAATGCACAACTCATACACTTCATAGATGTGTAAAGAAACAGACACACATTACTCTGTGTGGTTTCACTTCACTGAAACAAGATACTCATGGGAGAAACTTGAACCAATAATTCTCAAATCCAACTGGTGTCTAGATCTTAGCTGTAACTGGTCTAATGAATGGAAATGCTTAAGGCACAGGACAGTGTCACTGGTGACAAAGACACTCAAATTGAACATACCTTTTAATGGTAAATTAAGAACAATGTTTAAGCAGCTAATAGGAATTCTAAAAATCAAAAGAACAATTGATGGGTAAATATAATCACAGGACTGTTTTGTAAGAGGTGCATTTTCATTTTAAACAGTGCGTTAGGAATATATCCAGAGGACTGGAACCAGGACAGGCCATCAAGACCCTGAACAAATCCATTCAATGCCAATTATAATGTGTTCTTCCCAAAAGCTGGGCAGTACAATTGTCACAGCACTGATAATCGTTCCCAACATCATGCAACAGGAAAACAGTCCTATCTGAGAGACATCTTCCCCGACCGCGGACCTTACAGCCACACCCTCTCTGGAAACATCTGTCTCCAGCTTCCTGTTTGCTACATACTGTAGCAACAGGCAGGTCGTGTGCAAGAAGGAATCATCTCAAGATATTTCGAACCAAACAGCCAACACAGCTCATTATACAGCTATTCCTCTAATTCAGATTCCCATTCTTTTGTTGTGTAAGGGTCACATGACCTTTTTTGATTTGGCTACTCTGCTACTAGATAGATTGATTAGCTCTGGTCTAAAAGAACAATCTTTCTTGTTAATGTGAAGGAGGAGCAGTTCACCTGATCAGACCTCAAGCGTTCAGATAGCACTTATTTATTTTAAAATAATACACATATCGAAATATGCATATCAAACATACTGTAGATCAAAAGGTCCCAGGAGGGTCTTTAAAAGACTGATGCATGTGAGACTTGTCTTCTGTCAAGTAGAGAGTGATCGGGGACAGAAGGAAAGGAGTCTGAATTCATCTGCATTAAACTGTTACTTTTGAGCTGTAATACTTTCATTTTAAAGACCAAATGACTCCACTGATATTTACATTCGATGAAAGAACCTACCCAAGATTCCAGATGAACAAAAACAGACCATTCCTTGATTAATTAGAAATAAATCTATAAATATTAATGATACCCATGTTCAAACAGGTACAAGCTGAGCATGCATGACAAAAAAAATGACTGAAATGAAAATGACACAATCAAAGTGCTTTCTGTAATTGCTGGGACAAAAAGCCCTCTAACCCAATACAAATCTTCAATGCTGAACACTTTTCTGTCTCTAAGAGTTCTGCGCAGTTCAGCAGCTAGATTAGATTTAAAATTATTTACAATGCAACAGGATTTTGTTTAAATTATTTTTCCACCCTACATTTTCAGAGTAAACCACTGTTCATAATTCATGCTCGGCAGAGAGAATGTCATTCGTTAAATATTCATTCACCTTAATTAGAGAATTTCTTTTCCGTAGCACAGATTATGAAAGCCAGAAGATTTTTTTTTTGGCATCCGCTTTGAATCCAGTTGTGTACATTTTCTCCAATATATATTTGCCATTTGAAGCTGTAATTATTTAGGAGAAAGGGAAAGCAAAAAAAACGCTTTGGGACTGGTCTGATGGAGAAGATCGCAGGTCAGTAGAGGAATACAGGAGTGGTGACATCAGAGCTCGTCTCTCTCCTGCCGCCGTTAGCTGGCAGGAATGCCACAGTAAGATAAAAATGCTTACGTTGTCCGTCAGCGTGCCTCTGTGGTCTGCAGCTCACTCTTCGGGCAGGGCAGTCCACACATGGGCTCGGCAGCTGATCTTCATTGGAGCAGGAACCTTGCAAAAGTCAGCACTGAACCTGAAAATGAAGGAACGAGAAAGAGAAAAGGGAGCTGAGCCGAGCCTTCAGGAGGATCAGTGCATTGCTCTTCTGTCTGTCCAGTTCCCCGAGCACCGTCCACTCGGGCTGGCGCACGGACCCCTGCCGAGACCTGCCACACGAGTCCGTCTTTGGAGAAACACAGTCACAGAGCCAGGCCTGCCCCGGGGAGACCAAAGAGCCACAGAGAAAGGACGATGAAAGCACCACGGAGCTGCTTCACATCTGAAAGCCCACACGCGCTGTTACACGTTGTTTTCCACTGAGCAAAAATAAAAAAAGTAGAAAACTGCATTTTTCAGCTGGGGTGGTTTCTATCTCTGCAATACGCAATCAATAAATGACTGGCCATGTGTGACCATTAACTCAAAATACCCCAGATGGTATCTGGAAGCCGCTGGCAATTGCATTAATACAGTCAAACCCAATGGTTATCCATTAAGGTATTTTGAAAAAGATATTTATTTTGATATTTTTTTAATTTTTAAATTGCACATTTCTCTCTGACACTCTGCTCAGCTGTATTGTCGGCTGCACCCATTCGTTTCTGAACCTATATGCATCATCTCAAGTGGCAAAACACTGTTTTTAATTATTGCTACATATAAATTAAACACTCTGATCGGCACATCTGGGCCTATTTTCATTTCTAATCCGCAGAGAGCATGGCTAACGCCAGTTTCCTTCCCTGCATCAAGTCTACCTCTGAGGGTCAGTTAAACAAAAAGCGTTTTCTCCTACTGCGAGCACAAGCCGTAGTCAGCTGTAGGGGGGCCACTTCATTCTGGCCCTGCCATACGTCGGTATACAGAATATCACATTTTCCTTGAGTGTGCTGTGAATTATTGATAAAGAATCATATTTATAATATATACCGTATGTGGTTTTCTGAAGTACAGCAGTGGCAGCTTATTAAATAATACATAGAAACATCTCCTGGGGGGGTATTTAAATATCTCCGACAGACAGAAGGCCTGGTTAGACCTTCTATCAGAAGTCACACATTTCAGAACAACCACCAGCTTCTGTCACGAACAAAGGACTGGTGTTCAGTCTATGATAATACAGTATATACTGAACCTTCTTTTATGGGTCATGTACCCTTAAGAGAGAGACAAAATTCCATGGGCACAAGATACCAACATGAAGAGCAGAAATACATTTCACATACAGTACACAACACTGTGCATTGTCATATTTTATTAAACATATATGGCGAAAGCAAATCATGTGTGACAAATAGGACCAGACACTTCGTATACATTTTTTTTAATATGAACTGAGGATAGACTGTGCGTGCCTGATAGGTAAGTGTACACCTGTCATAGTTCATCAATATCTCCAGCGTGGCTCGACAGAGACGTGCAAACAGCACAGGAGAGCAAGGGAAATGCAGAAGAAGAAAAAAATGCAAGAGTTATTTCTGATGCTGCCTGCAAAGACTGGCGTTTCTAGTGGAATTGTCCTGTCGTTTTTAAAAAACAAAAAGTAATCTGTTTCATTTGGGCAGCTCACCAGCCAGCCAGTAAGTGTACATACTGTGTATACGCACACAGAACACTTCATCTGGCACTACAAGAGAGATATCAGGTAGTACGAATTTAAACTGGGCTGACCACTTTCACATGCACAAGACCATATTTAATGAGATCTCCAGTCTGGCTCTGTAAAAAACAGGAGTGATTCTATCCCAACATCTGCTGTGTTAGCCAGGAGCAGAAGCTGTTAATGTTTGTCATTTCAAACCTGATGTTAGAAAGATTTACACCGCTTAACTGAATTGTCCAGCAGGGTTAATGTTTCTGCTCTAAATGGGTCACATTACTGAACGCTTACCCTCACACATCAAAATGGTGACTCTTTGTGGACATACAATATACTGTACCCATGACCAGGTTTTAGTTAAACTTTTCCAATCCATTATTTCTTCTCCCGAGTGGAGGATCCAGATAGTGAAGGGCTCTGTATTGTACTAGCGCTGTACCAGTAACACAGAGCGATGGTGTGATCTTCCTACCACTGGGTTATGTGCTGTGCCTCTCATTCACATTGGAGTGACCCCTGCTGTTCTCTCCTAACACAGTAACAGCGTGAGAAACACTCCCGCTCTAGTGTAGTGAATTCTCTGGTTTGCGTATTGTCATCCAGAGGGAAAAGTGTCTTTATTGTCAACACCAATTAAACCTTTACATTCCTTTTGTTTTTAATTTTTGGTATTTGAAGCGACCTCCTATTTTCACCCTCTCAGTGTGGGTTTCTTGATTCGGGTCTGATCTGCTTCGGGCCTGCATACTATGCATAAAGTCTCTTAAATGCTTTGCACATTGTACTGAAAGTACCAAGTTTAATTTAAAATGGCATCACTGACTGCTGCTGGAATTAATTATCTTACTTGCTCTACAGTGCTTTAATTATATATGATTTCACTTAATAAGACACTCTTACATCTATGGACGTCCTGTTACTGTTAAGCTGTTAGAGTTTGGTTATATGATTATCAGTTATTTACAGCTGCATGCAAGCAATACAATAAGTTATCAAACAATGCAGATAACATAAAAAAAAAATTCAAATGCTTGCAATATATTAGCATAAAGATAAAACCATGCAGGAACAGATAAGTGCAGGTGACTAGCTGTAGAGCTATTATAATTTAAGGGATAACGGTGTTATAGAAAAGTGTGTTCATTTTACCTTATTTTGCTATATTTGCCAGATGCTTTGCTGACGTTTTATATTTTGGTCAAATTTGTTTTTGTACACAGTTTTGTCCTATTTAAATTATTTTACGCAGTTCTAAGGCTGCTTAAATGTGGCTGAAACCAAAACTTTGGCTTCATTCAAGAAGAAACTGGATGAGATCCTTTGATTAAATAATTAATAATTTCCACAGGGGCTGAACGGCCCCCTCTCATTTGTAACCTTTCTTATTCTTATGCACTTAATTGTTGTCAATTTCAATTAAAAAAACAGCTGGAATTACTTTGTTAAGGAAATAAAAAGAGAAATGAAGTTCCAAAATTCACAATAACATTTTTCCAAAGACCCAATTTCCTCCCATTTTCATGCATTTAAGGATAAATCTGCATTTGTAATAATCGACACCTGTCTTTCTGGCCCCGTCTTCCTTCCATCCAAAAAGACAGCAGTGGTTCAGCTGTCTCTGATTTAACTCTGTGCTCTCAATCTGTACTTAACACCCAAAATGTGCAATAATGGGGGCACTGGCCCCGTCCCATCAAATATCACTTTTTTAAAATAAAATTATAGCACTTGGAAATAACTTTCAGCAGTTCAATGTTCATGCCATCACTTGGTCTGCATGTCTGGTATAAGTGCTACCACAGACACTATATTTTCAGATTATTAGGGTAGCTGTGTACTATATAACTTTACATCGTTATGTATCATCGCTGAATAAAATATTTGGAAAGGAAATGACTTAGATATCATTATCTGAATGGGGCAGCCCTGCAAACATCTCTTTTTCCCCCTTTTTTTTCTCTAATTACAATATCGTCTGGTTGAGTTGGAAGCACTCAAACACACTCTCCATTTACACGTCTACTGCACGCGTAACTTTTATGTGTAAAGAGGAACAAGCTCACTGTACTTGAGAAGGGGGTCAGCAGTGAGACCTCGAAGTGCCAGAGGGAGGGACGACGCTCTACTTTCTAAATGAAGCAAGATGTAGGCCAGTGTGTGTCCTCACGTGAACCGGGAGGAAAAGGCACGATGTGCAGGGTGAAAAGAATATGCGGCCATTTAGCAGCTTAACATTCACTCTTCTGCCTTTAATGCACAAATGATTTCATAAAGTTGCTGGTTCAAATGAATTTTCCTCCCAAACAGGCCAAATGACTGCACCTAAACCGATTATCTTTAATAAATGATTGTGAATTTTCGATTGTTATTCAATTTGCTGAAGTAGCAGAGATGGCAATTCAGAAGTCGGCTGGTTGCAGCCGGCACCTCATTAAGTCTAGGGGTGATCAATGTCACTGTTATTTCAACTGCACAGTTCACATCGGTTTTTGTTTTATTATTCTAATCTACATTTTTCTGGACATGTGCCCGTCCAGTTCAATTAATAAGTGCTTGGGTTAAAAATAAAACTAGATCTCAGGTTTTCACTTATTTGGTGAAAAATAGATCAATATTTGAGAGCTAAAATATCTTATAGATGAAAAACACATAGTGGGAGGGAGACTGTGTGTGTGTGCAATTTCACTCACAAAACATGCATTAAATTAAGATGTGACATTAAGCAATATGGAAGTGATATTTTATTTCTGTATTTGGTAAGCAGTCAAATTCTGCCAACATGTCCAAATCATTAGTATTTACCAAAACAAAGTAAATCAGTTTTCCCAACAGAGTCACAGATTTGACAAAAACAAATAAATACTAACTTACATGAAAGCTGTGTACTTCCGTACTTACAATTACTTTCTGAAAGACTGCAATTCAATTTAGTCTTTGTTTTTCCAAAGAAAAGCTTCTCTTCCATTTCAAAATACAAGCAGAAAGACATGACTGTTTAACTCTACTCCCTCTGTAACACAACTAATTAATACTTTCAACAGCAACATTAAGCCGACGCCTGAAATGGTAAGGCATCATCTACAGATTGTTCGTACATGGTGTTTTCTTTTCTGCACATATTAGTTTTCTTGGAAGAGCTTCCCAACCAATCACACTGCTGAAGGGGTGGGAGAAGAGCACAAGTGGCCACTCTTACCCCTCAGAAGAGAGTCGTGTCAGCATTTCAGGGTTTTGAAAAGGAAACGCCACAAAGCCCCCTGCCTCTTGCCTGTTCGCTTTCAGGAGAGCCACTGCCAACCCCTCCCTCTCCCACTCGGAATAGCAAATGAAGTAAGAGGCCGCCAGCACAGCCGCCGTGTGGAGATCTGCTCTGGAAGAGGGCAGGTACCCCATGACATCACTATGAAAGGCTGACAACTTTTCCATTTTTCAAT